CTTGATACTATCTTTTGATTGTAAGAAGCTTCTGTCCAAGTTTGGTAAAATTCCAGGATAGTTTATGAATCTAATAAATGTTTAAAAACTTAAACTGCAGACTGAATGTAATGTTAACTGGAAGAAAACAAAATTTCCTTCTAGATACTAGCATTTGATCATAAACAAGCTTCTGTCCAAGTTTGGTACAAATCCAAAATAGTATAAGAAAGTTATTAAAATTTTAAAAACTTTAACCACAGAGTGAATATGTTGTTTCCTGGCAGAAAATCTAAGTCCATTTAAAAGTAAAATACGGAAAAAATGGATTTATTTTTTTACAAAATTTCCTTCTAGATACTAGCTTTTGATCATAAACAAGCGTCTGTCCAAGTTTGGTACAAATCCAAAATAGTATAAGAAAGTTATTAAAATTTTAAAAACTTTAACCACAGAGTGAATGTGTTGTTTCCTGGCAGAAAATCTAAGTCCATTTAAAAGTAAAGTAAGGAAAAAATGGATTTATTTTTTTTACCAAATTTACTTCTAGATACTATCTTATGATCATAAACAAGCTTCTGTCCAAGTTTGGTACAAACCCAGGATAGTTTAAGAAAGTTATTAAAATTTTAAAAACTTTAACCACAGAGTGAATGTAATATTTACCGGCAGAAAAACTAAGTCCATTTATAAGTAAAATACGGAAAAAAATGGAATTTTATTTATACAAAATTTACTTCTGGATACTATCTTATGATCATAAACAAGCTTCTGTCCAAGTTTGGTAGAAATCCAGGATAGTTTAAGAAAGTTATGAAAATTTCAAAAACTTTAACCACAGAGTGAATATTTGTGGACGCCGCCGACGACAACGACGACGACGACGACGCCGACGGAATGTAGGATCGCTATGTCTCGCTTTTTCGACTAAAGTCGAAGGCTCGACAAAAATGTGAAAAGCATTGGTTGAACGATTCATAAGTTATTGCACGGAAACGACATCAAGTGCAATTTAAAAACCTATCAAGGAACATAACTCCTGAACGGTAAAAGTGTAAATCGTCAATACCGAACTTGACCTCAACTTAGACATCAGTAACATATTAAAATTTAAAAACCATTGGCTTATCAGTTCAAAGTTATTGCACGAAAACCGCCCGCCGTCGGCCTTCATCAAATAACCGCATTTTTCTTTCGGAAAACCTGGTTAAAAATCTCATGTTTGCCTGCAATTCCAATGAAGGGGATATTTTAATACATATACTCAATAAATGTTTTTATTGATAGATGTTATGTATGCAAGTTGCTTGAGACAACAAACTAATACAGTTTAAAAAGATACAAATAAAAAAAAGAATTTGAATTAAGTGGTTAAAAATTAACAAAATTGTCCCATGATTACATACTATGATACAAGTAACTTACACAAAGTACATATGTAGTACACACGAGATTGTTCTGAAGTTGGAGGACATGTTTTGGGGACAAATCCGTCCAATAGCTTCTTTTTGGGACTCCAACTAGTCCCCAAGGCATGTTATCGGACATCAGAGCAATCTTGGACTATTTACGCACTTGTCATTGAACTTAACACCATAAGGTTATCACTCACTACTTTTAATCATCAGCATTACTATAGAGCACGAAGGAAATATAATTTATAAACAATATAAAGGTCTGATAAACAAGGAAGAAGTAAATAAAAGAAGCATTTTCCTTTCTAACCCGAAAGAAATGTGTACATGTTTTAGCTGTAATAGTTGTCAGTCCATGTAAAAAGGTAAGAAAGCGCAAAATAAACGTAATTCTGAAAAGCATGCATACCTATTGGAAGCATATTTGTGAACAATAAAACATCTTTTCGGTTTGACTATTAACATTATTATGATTTAGTGAACAGACTATGACACACTTTGAAAACGCTCGATTGCATCATGAAATATTTAAATAAATTCATATTTTATTGTTTGTTTCAGAAAATTTCAGACTTTTGTCTTGATATCACACCAGGAGGTAGGAGGGGATCTAATTCCGAATTATCGTGAAAATAATGTGTCAAATCCCGCATCACAATTTACTGCTTGAACAAAGATAAAATTTAGAATGGAAACGGGGAATGCGTCAAAGAGACAACAACTCGACCAAAGAGCAGAAACAGCTCACGGCCACCAATGGGTCTTCAACACAGCGAGAAAATCCCGCACCCGGAGGCGGGCATTAAAGGTATATTTAGAAAATTGGTCTTATAAGTACCTATATCTTTGTAGTCATAATTATTATGGACAGCTGACTTTTTTATAATTGTTAATTTAAAAAAAAATCGGGGTTGCTGCGTCATTTTTAGTGATGAAATGTGGTCGGAGGCCAACATTTTCGCGTTTTCGTCTTTTATTTTCACAGACAAAACGGCGAGGCGAAAATGCAAAATTCGGTGGTTATTTCTCGTTTACGATTTATAAATTATGAATAATAAAATGCTCCGCAGGGCACAGCTTGATACGACCGCAGAGGTCGAACCCTGAACAGTTGGGGCAAGTATGGACACAACATTCAAGCTTGATACAGCTCTGAATTTGGATTGTGATTAAATATTTGACACAGCATAGGTTACTGACACAGAATGAATGTGGTCTAAGAACTTAAATTTTTTTATTAAATTGGACATTCACCTATTATGGTCCAATATCCAAAATCTAAATACATGGTTAGATTCAGCATATCAAAGAACCCCAAGAATTCAATTTTTTATGAAATCAAACAAAGTTTAATTTAGGACCCTTTTGACCTCAATGTGGACAAAGTTGATAACGGGGCCCAAAAATCAAAAATCTAAATACATGGTTAGATTCAGCATATCAAACAATTTCATATATTCAATTTTTGTTGAATCAAACAAAGTTTAATTTTGGACCCCGATTTGGACCAACTTGAAAACTGGGCCCATAATCAAAAATCTAAAAACATGTTTAGATTCAGCATATCAAAGAACCCTCAGAATTCAATTTTTGTTAAAATCAAACTAAGTTTAATTTTGAACCCTTTGGACCTTAATGTAGACCAATTTGAAAATGGAACCTAAAATTAAGAATCTAAATACACAGTTAGATTCGGCATATCAAAGAACCCCAATAATTCAATTTTTGATGAAATCAAACAAAGTTTAATTTTGGACCCTTTGGACCTCAATGTGGACCAATTTAAAATCGGGGCCCAAAATCCAAAAACTTAATACACGGTTAGATTCAGCATATTAAAGAACCCCAAGAATTCAAGAATAAAACCCCATTGAAATTGGTCAAGAAATAAGCAATTAATACTGTGCAATTGAATATTTCTTGCTATTGCGCAATACTGTGCAATTGAAGATTTCTTGCTATTGCGCAATACTGTGCAATGAAAGATTTCTTGCTATTGTGCAATACTGTGCAATTGAAAATTTCTTGCTATTGCACAATACTTATTATATAATAATTTACACATCCTGTTTGGTGTATATCTCCTACCATATCACTATTATTTGCTTTTAAATATTAATCAGAAATAACCAACTTAAAATGGAAAATTTTAAAAGAAAAAAAAGGAAAAAAAGAAAAAAAAGGAAAAAAAAAAAATCCCCCCCCCCCCAATTTTTTGAAACCCCTTATGATTCATCACCCCCAAACTCAATCCCAGCCTTCCCTTTGTGGTATGGTACCTTGCAGTACAATTTCAGAGAGATCCATACACTTGAACACAAGTTATTGTCCTGAAACTAGAAAAATGCTTGTTTTGTTTCCCTTTTTGGCCCCTTATTCCTAAAATTTTGAGGGAATTACCCCCAAAATCAATCCCAGCCTTCCCTTTGTGGTATGGTACCTTGCAGTACAATTTCAGAGAGATCCATACACTTGAACACAAGTAATTGTCTGGAAACTATAAAAATGCTATTTTTGGCCCCTTATTCCTAAATGTTTTGGGCAATTACCCCCAAACTCAATTCCAGCTTTCCCTTTGTGATATGGAACCTTGTAGTTCAATTTCAGAAAGATCCATACACTTACACACAAGTTATTATCATGAAACTAGAAAAATGCTTGTTTTTTGCCCCTTTTTTTGGCCCCTAATTCCTAAAATTTTGAGGCAATTACCCCCAAAACCAATCCCAGCATTCCCTTTGTGATATGGAACCTTGTGGTACAATGTCAGAGAGATCCATACACTAACACACAAGTTATGTCTGGAAGTTACAAAAATGCTTATTTTTGGCCCCTTTTTGGCCCCTAATTCCTTAACTGTTGGTACCATAACCCCCAAAATCAATCCCAACCTTCCTTTTGTGGTATTGAACCTTATGGTAAAATTTCACGGAGATCCATTCACTTAAACTAAAGTTAGAGTGCGAAAACCAATGTGTCTTCGGACGACGCCGGACGACGCCAGACGACGACGACGACGACGACGACGACGACGCCAACGTCATACCAATATACGACCAAAAAAATTTTAATTTTTGCGGTCGTATAAAAACCGCATGAAATATATTTGTAAATTGTTTTGATGGACTTCTCATAAAGAAGATCAAAAACTGCTATGAATATGTACCTTTTTGAATGAAGCAGCGGATAAAAAATATAGACGATTTAATGTATTCTTTTAAGATTGTAGTAATGAATATAAATAAACGTAGGATAAGTGTGTTATGTAATAGAGAGTGAGGTGGCATATGTAAATAAAGCAACAGCAGCTCCACTCAACATGCCGCCAAGAAAGAATATTCTTCTTTTTAATCAGATTCTGTCCATTGAGAGTCAGCGACCCAAAATACGTTGTAACAGACTAAAACTATATCAGTGCTATATTTTTGTTTTAAGCAAAACATTAACAAGCATGGTCTACGTTATCGACCATTTGTGCTAGCGAGTTTTAAGTGCAATTCTAAATTTATCAGTATTTATTGTTTTTAGAAAGCTCTATTTCTGTACTTTTTTTTCGAAATTGGTGCGATTTAGGTTAATTTCGCATGACAAGCTTCAGAAACATACCTTCAACTGAAAGTAATCAATATCCACATGTACTTCTCTAAAACCATGTCCTTTTATAAAATATCTGTAAAAGAAAAAACTACATTATAAAAGAAAATATATTTCCGTTCAGATACGACTATACATGTGACTTAAATTGTTCTTATCACAAAATACCTTTGCTCATAAAATTCTTTATGTTACTCAAAATGTGTAACAAAGAGCAAATAGTAAAAGAAAGGGTCCAAGGGTCTTGTGTCTCTTACATGGCTAAATGTGATATCATTGATTGCTTCAGATTTAATTCTAAAAAAATATAAATCCCTAAAATCTTTCATATCTTGTTTCAATCAAGATTTGCTGTAATTTTGGTTTAAATATTAATTTTATGTACAGCATTTTTATACGGTCTTTCCAATGATCTTTAGAAAAATATAGGTCAAACCTTACCAAAAATAAATGGAGAATGTGTCCCCATGGACACAGATGATGCCCCCGCTTGCATACAACATTATAAAGGGACATAACTCAAGAACAATAAAAGTGACGCTACCCAAATTTGTACTTGATCTGAGTTTTGTGGTAATAAGTATTGTGTAAAGTTTCATAATGTTTGGTTGGGGCAAACTTAAGTTACAGAACGGAAACTAAAAAAATTGCAATTTTTCCATTTATAAAGGGGCATAACTCGATAATGATTAAAGTGACGCCACCAAAATTCAACTTGATCTGTGTTTTGTGGTAAAAAGCATTGTGTATAAGTTTCATAACATTTGGTTGAGGCAACTTAAGTAAGAGAACGGAAACTAAAAATTTTGCATTTTTTTCCATTTATAAAGGGGCATAACTCGAGAATGGTTAAAGTGACCCCACCAAAATTCAAACTTGATCTTTATTTTGCGGTAATAAGCATTGTGTATAAGTTTCATAACATTTGGTTGAAGCAAACTTAAGTTAGAGAACGGAAACAAAATTTTTTGTAATTTTTCCATTGATAAAGGGGCATAACTCTAGAACGGTTAAAGTGACGCTTCCAAAAATTCAAACTTGATCTGTATTTTGTGGTAATTAGCATTGTGTATAAGTTTCATAACATTTGATTGAGGCAAACTTAAGTTAGAGAACGGAAACTAAAATAAAATGCTCCGCAGGGCGCAGCTTGATACGACCGCAGAGGTCGAACCCTGAACAGTTGGGGCAAGTATGGACACAACATTCAAGCTTGATACAGCTCTGAATTTGGATTGTGATTAAATATTTGACACAGCATAGGTTTCTGACACAGAATGAATGTGGTCTAAGAACTTAAAAATTTTAAATTGGACATTCACCTATTATGGTCCAATATCCAAAATCTAAATACATGGTTAGATTCAGCATATCAAAGAACCCCAAGAATTCAATTTTTGATGAAATCAAACAAAGTTTAATTTTGGACCCTTTTGATCTCAATGTGGACAAAGTTGATAACGGGGCCCAAAAATCAAAAATCTAAATACATGGTTAGATTCAGCATATCAAAGAACCCCATATATTCAATTTTTGTTAAAATCAAACTAAGTTTAATTTTGGACCCTTTGGACCTTTATGTAGACCAATTTGAAAATGGAACCAAAAATTAAGAGTCTAAATACACGGTTAGATTCGGCATATCAAAGAACCCCAATAATTCAATTTTTGATGAAATCAAACAAAGTTAAATTTTGGACCCTTTGGACCTCAATGTGGACCAATTTAAAAACGGGGCCCAAAATCCAAAAACTTAATACACGGTTATATTCAGCATATGAAAGAACCCCATATATTCAATTTTTGTTGAAATCAAACAAAGTTAAATTTTGGACCCCGATTTGGACCAACTTGAAAACTGGGCCCATAATCAAAAATCTAAATACATGGTTAGATTCAGCATATCAAAGAACCCCATATATTCAATTTTTGTTGAAATCAAATAAAGTTTAATTTTGGACCCTTTGGACCTTTATGTAGACCAATTTGAAAATGGAACCAAAAATTAAGAGTCTAAATACACGGTTAGATTCGGCATATCAAAGAACCCCAATAATTCAATTTTTGATGAAATCAAACAAAGTTAAATTTTGGACCCTTTGGACCTCAATGTGGACCAATTTAAAAACGGGGCCCAAAATCCAAAAACTTAATACACGGTTATATTCAGCATATGAAAGAACCCCATATATTCAATTTTTGTTGAAATCAAACAAAGTTAAATTTTGGACCCCGATTTGGACCAACTTGAAAACTGGGCCCATAATCAAAAATCTAAATACATGGTTAGATTCAGCATATCAAAGAACCCCATATATTCAATTTTTGTTGAAATCAAATAAAGTTTAATTTTGGACCCCGATTTGGACCAACTTGAAAACTGGGCCCATAATCAAAAATCTAAATACATGGTTAGATTCAGCATATCAAAGAACCCCATATATTCAATTTTTGTTGAAATCAAACTAAGTTTAATTTTGGACCCTTTGGACCTTTATGTAGACCAATTTGAAAACGGAACCAAAAATTAAGAATCTAAATACACGGTTAGATTCGGCATATCACAGAACCCCAATAATTCAATTTTTGATGAAATCAAACAAAGTTAAATTTTGGACCCTTTGGACCTCAATGTGGACCAATTTAAAAACAGGGCCCAAAATCCAAAAACTTAATACATGGTTAGATTCAGCATATTAAAGAACCCCAAGAATTCAAGAATAAAACCCCATTGAAATTGATCAAGAAATAAGCAATTTATACAAAGTATATTCTTTTGCACAATACTGTGCAATTGAATATTTCTTGCTATTGCGCAATACTGTACAATTGACAATTTCTTGCTATTGCGCAATATTGTGCTATTGGATATTTCTTGCTATTGCGCAATACTGTGCAATTGAAGATTTCTTGCTATTGCGCAATACTGTGCAATTGAAGATTTCTTGCTATTGTGCAATACTGTGCAATTGAAAATTTCTTGCTATTGCACAATACTTATTGTATAATAATTTACACATCCTGTTTGGTGTGTATTTCCTACCATATCATTATTATTTGCTTTTAAATATAAATCAGAAATAACCAACTTAAAATGGAAAATTTTAAAAGAAAAAAAAAAGGAAAAAAAGAAGAAAAAAAAGAACCCCCCCCCCCAAATTTTTTGAACCCCCTTATGATTCATCACCCCCAAACTCAATCCCAGCCTTCCCTTTGTGGTATGGTATCTTGCAGTACAATTTCAGAGAGATCCATACAATTGAACACAAGTTATTGTCTGGAAACTAGAAAAATGCTTATTTTTGGCCCCTTTTTGGCCCCCAATTCCTAAACGTTTCGGGCAATTACCCCAAAACTCAATTCCAGCTTTCCCTTTGTGATATGGAACCTTGTAGTACAATTTAAGAAATATCCAAACACTTACACACAAGTTATTGTCATGAAACTAGAAAAATGCTTGTTTTTTGCCCCTTTTTTGGCCCCTTATCTTAAAATTTTGAGGCAATTACCCCCAAAATCAATTACAGCCTTCCCTATGTGATATGGAACCTTGTGGTACAATGTCAGAGAGATCCATACACTTACACACAAGTTATTGTCTGGTATTACAAAAATGCTTATTTTTGGCCCCTTTTTGGCCCCTAATTCCTTAACTGTTGGTACCATAACCCCCAAAATCAATCCCAACCTTCCTTTCATGGTATTGAACCTTATGGTAAAATTTCATGGAGATCCATTAACTTAAACTAAAGTTAGAGTGCGAAAACTAATGTGTCTTCGGACGACGCTGGACGACGCCAGACGACGACGACGACGACAACGACGACGACGACGACGACGCCAACGTCATACCAATATACGACCAAAAAATTTTCAATTTTTGCGGTCGTATAAAAACGGGACCCAAAATTAAAAATCTAAAAACACGGTTAGATTTGGCATATCAAAGAACCCCAATAATTCAATTTTTGATGAAATCAAACAAAGTTTAACTTTGGACCCTTTTGACCTCAATATGAACCAATTTGATAGCAGGCCCACAAAATAAAAAATCTAAATACATGGTAAGATTCAGCATATCAAAGAACCCCATATATTCAATTTTTGTTGAAATCAAACAAAGTTTAATTTTGGACCCCAATTAGGACCAACTTGAAAACTGGGCCAAAAATCTAAAATCTAAATACATGTTTAGATTCAGCATATCAAAGAACCCCATATATTCAATTTTTGTTGAAATCAAACAAAGTTTAATTTTGGACCCCAACTTGGACCAACTTGAAAACTGGTCCCATAATCAAAAATCTAAACACATGTTTAGATTCAGCATATCAAAGAACCCCAAAAAATCAATTTTTGTTAAAATCAAACTAAGTTTAATTTTGGACCCTTTGGACCTTAATGTAGACCAATTTAAAAAACGGGACCCAAAACTAAAAATCTAAATACACGGTTAGATTTGGCATATCAAAGAACCCCAATAATTCAATTTTTGATGAAATCAAACAAAGTTTAATTTTGGACCCTTTTGACCTCAATATGAACCAATTTGATAGCGGGCCCACAAATAAAAACTCTAAATACATGGTAAGATTCAGCATATCAAAGAACCCCATATATTCAATTTTTGTTGAAATCAAACAAAGTTTAATTTTGGACCCCAATTTGGACCAACTTGAAAACTGGGCCAAAAATCTAAAATCTAAATACATGTTTAGATTCAGCATATCAAAGAACCCCATATATTCAATTTTTGTTGAAATCAAACAAAGTTTAATTTTGGACCCCAACTTGGACCAACTTGAAAACTGGGCCCATAATCAAAAATCTAAACACATGTTTAGATTCAGCATATCAAAGAACCCCAAGAATTCAATTTTTGTTAAAATCAAACTAAGTTTAATTTTGGACCCTTTGGACCTTAATGTAGACCAATTTAAAAACGGGACCCAAAATTAAAAATCTAAATACACGGTTAGATTTGGCATATCAAAGAACCCCAATAATTAAATTTTTGATGAAATCAAACAAAGTTTAATTTTGGACCCTTTTGACCTCAATATGAACCAATTTGAT